AAAAAAAAAAAAAAAAGAAAGAAAAGAAAGGGTATGTGAATCAGCAAACTAATGCTGATTACGTAGCTGTTTTATAAAGTACTAGTAAAAATGCTTCGTGATGTCACATTACTGTATACATGTCATTCCCTATTTACATTAGACATGTTTAAACTCCAGACCAAAATAAGGTTTATATTTCCAAATTTGCAAATCCAAAATCTAGGTTTACAAGTAACCATTTTCCGGATTAATGAATGACACGGAGTAAGAGAATGAAACAAAAAGGTTAATATTACTTTCATTTATTAAACTGCATTTATGGCGTATTCATAGTTATTCCTTTTTAAATCATAATAATATGCAACCTTCATTTTTTACAATGTAATATATCATTAATACAAATGAATATTACAAATAATAACTATGAATACAGTCCCTAAATATTATTTTTAGTCCGTCATTATATTGGAATATAAAAAGATATCGTTCCGCAAATAATTAACAGTATTTATCGATATGCTAGGTTTGGAAGTGAGAACATCTTCATTTCCTCTTTTTATTTGTAAGTTCATCACTCCTATATTTCTTTTATAGAATTAAAAAGAGAATGATTGAAAATAAATGTTTTTCACATATATTGTAAAAAATTTGCAAATAATGATGGAAGTACATTGTTTATATTAAATCATATGAGTGTTTGTATTTCGGTTGCCGTTCCGTTATTTTTAGCATGTGCCATAATTGACCGTCAGATGGCAGTGGTTGCACGACTTTCGAGAACTTATCGATTTAAACAAGAAAGCTTGTCGCAATTTCTACGGAAAAATTGTTTGGAGAATATTCCAGCCAAATCCTATTTGAACTTCATAACGAAGAACGAAGTATAATATTCAAATCGTGTATTTAAAAGCTTTTAAACAATTATTAATTCGTAGTAACTGATGAAGGTAGTTAATATTGGTTAAGTAGTTATACAATAGGTATCGTAAAAATTTATTATTTTTCATAATTCTATTTTTATTTTTTCATGTACTAACAGAAGAATATTTGAAACACATAGCGATCTCTGAACGAAGACAGTGTATTAAGATCGTTTAGAATCGCATACACACATATATGGCATATACAACGAGATATATACATTCTGCGTAGATAATCAGTTTGAAGTACGAAAATTGGAGGTTAATTAAATGGGGTAACAAAAAATGGCCAAAAAATAATATTAAATTTTTTATTTATTATATCATTTATATATGGTTTTCTTCATTCATCGGAAAGCGCATCTACGTAGAAATATGGACGAGAAACCACTTAGGAGATGTATCGTACATGTGGGGAAGCAACGAATTTTTATTGTCAACTTTCGTATCGTGTAACATTGCGCAGAGAGCTCGATGAAGGACCAGGATAGAAGGTTGTGCGTGTGTGCGCGCGCGGTCATGGATATATAGATGGTCGTAACGTAGTGTATGTGGGTTTAGACTCGCGCAGGTGGGGGAAGTGGGGGAGACTGGCGTATTCTATGGGCGGGGCCTCTGCCAGCTGGCAGATGTTTCCCGCGCGGCCGCACCATTCCTCTAGCGTAAACCTACGCGACGTGAAAGTAGTCCCTTCTAACGCGTTAAATATTTCTAACAATAGCTCGGCAAGAAGACAGCTAGGTATACCAGTGATCCGTTGTAAGGCAGTAGACAGCCTGCTCGCAACAACCTGCAGAAAACTGTGGAAACTCAGTGTGAAACCGAAGATGAACTGGTGTGGGATTGGTCCAAAGAGAGTCATTGTCCAGGGCAGAGTACGATGTAGCGTTCACCCTAACCGCGTCCACTAAACTTTTCGCGAGTGCCTTGAAAATGGTTTTCGAGCGTTCAACACCGTGAACCTTCGTGCACGTTCGTAATTGTGTACCTGCAAATGACACTGTTGTGTTTTACCGGGATAGAAAATCGAGTCAACGAACTTTATTACGCGTCGAGTATATTTTCATTTGTATCGTTTCAACGCTACAGTGCGCGAGTGCTATTTCTTCCATCGATAAAACATCTCGGATGATAACGTTTGGTATGTGCCACGTGACGGTGGTTTCGTCGGTGTGTATATACAAAATAATCTTTCGCGTTGTGACAAAGTTCATGGAAGGATTAATTTGAAATGCAGTACTATTTTATGGGACTTGGACTTATTATTTTAAGAATAATAATTCACACGGTAAAATCGAAGCAGTTTATCTACTTTATTCTATTCGGTTATTCGCATATCGAGATTAACTGTTCAACCCAACGTATATATCGTACGATCGATCAAAGTTGTGTTACATATCCTGAGAAGTAAGAATAAATAGGGAAAAATAAATGGTGTGAAAAACATTGAAAGAGTATATTCGAGGGAGCGTATAAAATTTGTAAAAAATTTGGTAAAAAATAAAGAGTTATCGCGTGTACACAACGAAACGAAAGGGGCACCGAATGGACCATAGGTGGTGACGGCCCTGAAGCCGGCGGCGGAGTGATTCGTGGTACTCTGTGGGGGCCCTCAGCTGTTTCCCGCCAAAGATCGCCATTACAAAACGCGTTCGGGCGTTGTGTGTGCGCCGCGCGGAGTGGCTGTCCCGTGGACGAATCTCGGTGCGTGCCACCGCGGTCTAAAAAATTAATTAACGAGTTTCGGAGAATCCGTGTCACAAAGGCGTGAGGTGTGCGCGTCGTTTTTCGGTGGAGTGTGCGAGAAGCCCGTCGTCTTTTCGCTGCCGTGACGACGGCTGCTGGGACGTGGAATCGCGCGGCGGGATTCTTAGTGCTGCGGACCAACGAGATATGTCAGTGTTTGGTGGTGAGGATCGAATTCTGCTCGAGGAAATCGTTGAAACCACCGAGGAGCAGGAGACTAATTTGTGCGGGTAAGTTTTTCTTATATCAAACCTCTCGAAGTGAGCGTGAAATTCTTTGAGTAATCGGGACGTGTAAATGCGCGCTCGGCCATGTGCCTAGAGTTGGAAAAGCCGTGTGTGAGTTGCATATGCGTCGCGTGTACGTCAGCATTATATAGCGTATAGAGCGGCGCGGTTTGACACGCCACGTCATTTGTGACTTTAAATACATAGTGTAACGCCTTCCTCGCGAACTTTACGGCCAAGATGACACGAATTTATCGGTAAAGGAAGGCGTGTTTGTCCTCCTTATCGAGTCATGCCGATTGCGAGTGTAACAACGTCCATCGCCTCCTCTTTCTATTCGCCATCGCTGCTAATGCCGTCGCCTACCATCGTCGCCGTCGTCGTCGCTGTCGACGTCGCGGTGGCATTGGCAAGCTTCGGTAATCGTGACACGGACGTAAAACGTGTGCACAATACAAACAAAATCCTAGTAGAGTCTCGATAGCCAGCTGTCGTTGAAGCCGGCCGGCCGGCCGGCCGGCACAATAGCCTTCGTATTTTACGCTATGTAATTATACTCAATTTTTTCCTTCCATTTACTCTGATTTTCTTTTCAGTTTTTCTTTCTTTTTCTTTTTTCACGCTCGTTATCGTTACGTTTCGCGTAGGTGAATGGTGAAAGAGATATACACACGAGGATATGTCAAATGCGTACTCTCTCCATGCGTTCACGCCCAAACAAGCATGGCGCGGGAGTCACATTCGACCAATTGTTTTCCAACTATATAAATATACGATTACTATTCGGATTATCAGTGTAGACTCGAAATCTATTAACTATTATTTCTCGCGTGCTTTTTCTTTTTTTCTCAGTTATTAGAGATATCGATAAGCGAGATAAGATTGGCATAGTTCGACGTTCCTTAAATTTAACTATATTTCGCGTAAATTAATTTCGTTTCTCGATACTTTCGGACATTTGCGCGTCGCGTTATACTACATTTAGAGGAAGTAGTAACGATTTCCGCGACCAGTCTAACGTTAAACGGTCGTCAGGATGAGCACGTAGTTACCATTAATCGTTTCTCGGAATATTATCTCGTGTTGTCTAAACAGGTTTGAAATGCATGTACGGTACTCGCGTATACGTTGTTTCCTTTGCGACACGACGTTGGCTGCGTATTACGGTGACTCTAGCGTCATGAAACTGTCAACCGACAAAGGCGTCGAATTCACAAATACGCTCGTACGCGCACGCCCTTCTCTCCGTTTACAGGTTATTTCTTTCTTTTATTTTTCTTTTTTTCTCTCTCCCATTGTACGGATTCTTAGAATCGGTTGGATTTTCGTTAACATGGACGGTCGTAGAACGTAGCGTGGTGTTTTTGTTCGCGACCCAGGGCGGGGTAGACGGGTAGGCGCGAGCCTGAAAAGAGAGGGAAAAATGGAAGGAGAAAGGGGAGGAAAAAGGAAAAAAGAAGAAAAACAAAAGGACGAGGAAAGCAAGTTCCTTTGTATACGGCCGAGTGACCGACAGACCAGCCAGGGTATACTATGTGCGTTACGTAAAGCCACGTTTGTTGCACAATAATGGGTCTCTATAAATAACCCGAAGCATGCCGCATCGGCGCGACTTCTTGTTTACATACGCTCATCACCGCGCCGCATTACGTTCACTTAGACAGGGAAGCTTGGATCTATCGCGTCGAAGCTACGCGTGAACTGCTCGGCCACGGACTACACGCGTGCAAGACGCGAAATTCGCTGGTATCAACGTCGCGGCCGCTCACGATATCGCAGCAGCCTCTCGTACTTTCTTTGTTCGCCCGGTTCGTTGCTCGACGCTCGTGCGATAACAGACGCGTAGGTAATACGCGAAACTGCTTACTACGGGCCGTGTATATGGTGTAAAGGAACGCTGTGCAGTGTACGCCATAATTGATATAGAAGCTTGAATGAAGCGGCGCTGCTCGGGAGTGCGGCCTAAGAAACGCGGAAAGACGTATGCGAACGATTTTACACGCTATAAAATTCTTGTTGGAGGTATCAAGCGTAAATGATTGCATTAATGCACGCGGCATACCTTACGTTCACGTTCGTGTTATATTTATTTTTTCTTTTATTTTTATTTCACCTACTATAGAATAGCAACGAATACGTATTTATATATGTACTTTTAATTGAAGTAGCAGCGCATTCGCGTAGCCAAAACTTCGCTTTTATTTCGTTTATACAGTTCTACTCTTATGCTCGGGATACGTTTATTTTTATCTTTTCCTTTTTTTATACATATATATTTGCGCATAAAACACACGTGGACTTAAGCGAGTAACAAAAGGGCGGCGATTTTTATCCTGTTTCTGTAAGATCTTATTTCACGCATATTTTTCCTTTTCTTTTCTTATTTTTCTCTAGGAATAATACACGAACGACCGAATATGCGACTCTGCCAAAAGGTTTCACCGTTCTTTTCACTGGCAAATTTTTCGAGGGAAGAATTGTCCGCTTATTACGCGAACATCTGATACGTGTTTATCCTCTCATCACGCGACCCAGCGTATCAGCTGATTAAACGTTCTGCCATTACGTAATCGGGCACGATTGATACTTAGCCGATCGTGATAAATTTTCTCTCCCGGTTTATCACCGCTTTTGTGTGAACGGAGCGTTTCACGTGTGCAGTGTGTCATTTAGTCGTCGAAACGATGCGTCACGAATTTATAATCAGTCCCGGTAATCGTGTTCAAATATTAGCCACTCAAGGCGGGGAATTTTCTTCGTTTTTCCCCTTTTTTCTTCGTTTTTAACGCCGCTCCGCAAGATCGATAGAAACGGCAACGTACACTCGAACGAACCCCGTCTGTCGATATTTTTATCGCGTTCGACGCTTCGATCCTAGATCACGGATCGATAACCACGTTCCACGCGTACCTCTGTGTAATTTAACCGGTTCCTTAACACCGGAACTAGCGTTCTCTAACGTCTACCTAATGTGTATCCTATGTGGAATATACGTATATAATAATAATTATTATTAAAACAGTGGTATAAAAATAAAAAATTATATATAATTATATCTCTACTCGGACACAAGTGGACGTTAATTTTGCCAAAAACGGCTCTACGTTTCCGGTAATTAGGAAAAGAAATAGCCTGAACTCGGTGATTTTGTCTGGTTCGGTGGTTTTAGCGTTAACCCTTTGCACTGCGAATTATTTTTCAAACTTATTGCCAATAACTCTCTATTATTTTAAGTACTTTGCTCGAAATTTATTTCACAGGACAATTCCTCGACTGCTACTTATTTTACGGAATTTTCTTTACCGATTATATCAAACGTAGCTCTCAAACATTGTCGTAATTTATATTTTGCATTTAAATAATTCAAGTAGTTGCTTATTTTCCTTTCCCTTGTTCGGCAAATAAAGAGCGTAACTCGCAATTGGAGTTCCTGTCATAGAAATTCATGTGTAGTCAAAGGGCTATTAATCGAAATTCCTATGCCCCCTAATTTTGTTGAAGGCTTAATAATTAATTCAACTGATCTACGCGGTTTCAGATTCGAACCTTTATTCGGCACTGGTTAAATACGTGTCTTTTCCTCTATTTCAATCATCGGTTTCCTAATTCATAGTTTCAAAGATTGCACGCGCGCGTGCACGTTTCCCGTTTAAATCTCGCGCTCTTTTAACCGGGCTTTTGGAAATTGCGTTGTTCACGTCCACGCACAATTCGCGTGAATATCCTTCGAAATCCTTGTCGAATAAATATACTGACTAAGTATAACGCCGTGGATACGCCTATTCGAGGGAACGCTTAGTTCGTTGCGATCGTTTCCTCGATCGTTGCTGATAAACGAGAAACGGCCGACGATCGAATGCAGCCAAGTTGCATCGATTATCGTCGGTATATTAGTTTATAAAAAAAGAGTCGGGCTGTCACCCAGTCGCCACCTAGTTTTCTTTTTCCTACGACGCGTTGCGCGCGCGCGCACACATACTCGCGCACATACGTGCACCACGGATAAAATTACCGTCGCTCGATGCTCTATCGATTTTCTTTCGGTATTTACGTCAGCTATTCCTTTGTCGGTGTGCGTGCCACGCCGTGCTTATTAGTTATTATCACCACATCGTTTATCAAGCGTTGGAGAATAAAACTCGCTCGACTGATGGTACTTTTTCGTCCGCTCGTTTGCACGACTTAATAAATCGGTCGAGCCAATCCTGACCACGGTCAACGTGGTTGCACCATATCGTACGTAGTTGCCTTTCCACGTATACACACGTCTTCGTACGCTCTTGCGCGCGTACGTGTGTATAAACATAAACACACGTACCTATACGTACTCGCGTACGTATTATACGTAGCGTTACGAGTAGCCAGTGGGAGTGACAGAGACAGCTGGCCGCGGTGCATAAGGTGGGAGAGGGAGAGAGACAGGCGGGGAACCTGGATTGCGTATTGCACTTGCACCGAGTTAATCTCAGTGGATAAGTGCACTTGTACTCGACGCACGCTTACGTACGTAGGGCGATGTTATGTTTTTCTTTTCTCTTTCTCCGTGTTACCTTTCTTTTTCCCCCCCCGTTTCCCTTCGTTATTATATTTTCATTTTTATTTTCGACCTGTCCCCCGTACTGTATTTCAATCATACGGCCAGAGTACGCCGTTGGGCGTGTTTAATGGTATTAAGTAATGGCGGCATTGAAGTTATCGTACAGGGTGATTCACGGGAAAGGCCACCTTGACGCCGTGAAAAATTGTGACGGTGAAAATTGGATGGTTCGAAGGGTGGAACGCGATATAATAGGGCACTTTATGTTTCCGAGGTCATTCGTGTTTCTTTCCCCTTCTTTTTCTCTCCTATACATCCCCGTATTCCATGCTCGTAGAAGACACACGAACGCGAACCCGATGACCTTAAATTTCTTTTCGGTGCCCCCCGAGATATTGCAGTGTTCCGTATGGAGTATATTTTATGGCCGTTTGTTTTGTTCGTCTGTAATTTGTTGCATGTCGCG